GCCAACCACAACATGTGCAACATTCCCTTAAAGTTACTTTTAGGGCTTTATAACATCCTGAACTTGTCTGTTTTGAAGACATGGAACATGAAATTCAAAGTTTCTGGTAAGGTTAATAAATATAAATCTAGTTTAAAGCTAATGCCATTTAGATTCTACAAAACGATAAAGTATTCTGGTATTAGTCTGCAATATGAAAAACAACTATTTGCCCAACACATTTATGTGAATTTCCAATATGACACAAATTAAAAAAGAAATAGATTTTTGATATCTCTAACTGGCGTGAAGTTGTAAAATAATTTAAAAGTGGGTTTATAAGAGTGATCAAACATTTATCAGTTCAGAAAAAGAAAAGTAAAGAAACATTATTTCACAAGTTAGTTGGAAAAAGATTTCTGAACTTCACTCGGTGTTTGGTCTACCATCCTGCTGCCGTCAGGAGATCATTACAACTTTACAATGGAGAAAGAAAAACTTTGGTAAGAATGAAATTTGTAAGAAATAACGGCCCTAAAACTGGAGTTGGGCACTGAATATCAAAGCTTTGCATCCTCATTTCTGGGTTTTTGTTCAAACTATTTTTGCTTTTGTTTTTCATCCATTTTAAGTTAATAAAAACTAAACTGACTGGTTCATGAGGATTTCCTCTTTGTTGCATTAATCTTATTGCAATTTTATAAGATGTCTGTGCCTGCTGGTGTCATAAAACAGGGAATTAGTCTAATTATCTTTGAATTATCTGCTCACATTTTTAGCATTCATAATTTCAAATAAATTGGCAACATAATCTGAGAATGTTACTTGTTTTGAACTGATTGTGAGCCTGTTTCTGGATAAGAAAATATTGTGTTAAAGAATTTTGAGCTATCTTGTTTCTAAATGTTACCATGTTTAACCATCGCTCCGTCCCTCACACCTCTCCACATGTCAGGATCCCTTGCATGGCCTCATCAGCTGATCCTCTCGCATAAAAGAAAGCTCCTTGGATTTAAGAGACAACAAGCGGACCTTAAAAGTAGCTCATCATGCTCACAGAGACGAGATCTCCCTGTCTCTTCTATATATCTCCAGCTGATTTATAACTGAGCTGTAAATAGCTGTCAGGAGTCCAAGGTGTTAAATCAGGAGCTGATTTAACAAAATTCCTTCCAGTAGCTTTGGACATTGGATAATGAAAGGTGAACGACTCTCCTATCCCATGAGAGCTGTCGTCAGGCGATCACACCATTGTGAGGAGATTTTTATTACCACACGGACACAAAGCACAATCAGCATTGGATTATCTTGCAGAAACTGCACATTGAACTGACACGCTGATTTCTGGGTGAAAACAAAAAGCATTTAATTCCACATAGAGAGAAGTAGACAGAACACACAGTGATTCACAATATTAATTTGTATATTTCAGAACGCCATTTAAATTTTTTTTTCAAAACTGAGAAAATAGATGAGACGTAATCGGGTCTTTGAATTAAAAATGAAGCATGGAAGAGAGGTACATTGGGCAAGACTCGTTTGCTTCCCACAAGAGACTCAGTGCAAAGATTTACTTTTATGCATGCTTTATGCTTCCACTTTTATCATGGTGTTCAGTAATAAAGCAGGTCTAATCGACTAAATGGTTAGAGAAGGACAAGAGGCTTTCTGTCACTGTTTGTTGTTATTAATCCCATCACATTGCAGAACTCTGGATATGGATGAATGGACTCTGGGGCTCTATTTAGTCTCTGCTCAACCAATAAGAAGAGTTGTGTTCTCATTCCAGGTTGGATCCCAGGAATGCTGCTTTTGTTTGATCCTGGTCTTAGGATTGAGAAAGAGGATGTCATGGTGTAGGAACAGGTAGGTTACTCATCTGTTATCCGTACAGGCCCATTGCCATGTTCATCAGTTGAAGTTGAATGCCTGGAGTTCAGAGGCAAAAGTGGGTAATAACTAATTACTTTTACTCAGAATTTACTTCATTAACTTTATGGAAAATCTGTCACGACTCTTAATTCAGTTTTGCTAAAAATGTAGCAGGTAAAGACTCACAACTACAGTTTATGGTGACGTGAGAGTTATTCAAATACAAGCTATGGTTTTGTTTGATATATATATATATTACCAAGTGTATTAGTTTAATAAGTTTTAGATAAAAAATGTTGAAAAATTGGAGGGTTTCCTTAATTTGTTATTTTCTTATGTTAATCATTGGTATTCATTTTATGCTTTAAAATATCGTTCCCCAAAACTTTATGCTTTTGATTGTTTGATATCAGTTCTGAATATTAAATAGAAACTGATTTAATATGCAGTTTTGATTTAATTTAATGGTTTTGAACATTAAATATCCCTTTTTACCAAATACTTTATTTTACTCTAACTTGGGTCATTTCTTGGATATACTAAATAACTCTATTCATATGTTTACTTGGCAATACTACTTTTACTTTAAAAATATGTTGAAGCTCTTACTTTTACAGTTTGTGTCTTCTCTACCAACCTTTGGTCAGGGGCTTCTCAAATTCTGACTGGTTGTGGGTCTCAACTAGAAAAAAATTGTTTCCTCTAAATCTCTGCCTCACCCTGATGAGTTAGAAATCTCTAATCTAATCTTATCCCCAATGATGTTCGGATAGAGCAGGAGATCAATGAACGGATTGGACGTTCTGCAGTAATGAGGGCATTATTCTGGTCTGTCATGGTGAAGAAAGAAAGGTGAAGCTCGCCATTTGCTAGTTTATCTAGATTCAATCCTTCACCTTAGGTCATAAGGTGTAGATCATGACTTAAAAAACAAGAACCCAGATATAAGCAGCTGACATAAGCTTCATCAAAATGGAGAAGAGAGATGGATGGCTGCATCGGACGCATGGTAGATAGATGATGATTTCTACATTGCTTGTTTGACTTGGACGGATGGATAAATTGATGTTTTTTTTCCAGAAACGTAAAAAGAAAAACAGCAGCGAGGTGTTAAAATGTAGAAAAGGTCTGTGGTGATTCTCGATTCTTGTAAGGTTGTGACATCTTTCGCTTTGTTGAAAAAAATCTTTTATAGTCAGTGAATTCTTCTTGCAGCCGTCCAGCTGCCATGAACACTCTTACCGACTGTTGCATCACCTTGAGCAAATCTAATCTACACATGAAGAAAATGTCACTTACAATTAAAGTCATATCAGTTTGCTGTGAGACCCCAAACTCATTAAACTCTCTAGGGCCAGAAATAGACTGTTGAGTCACGGACTCAGCCTCTAATAACAGAGGCTGAACAATGTTTCCCTCCCTCCTCCGCTCCCTAAAGTGATTATCTCAGGTGCATGTGTAGGTGGACATGGAAACATCCAACCCCACACCTGGCTCATGTGGTGTAAGGTGACTCCAAGGTTTCTCTGTGATTTCTTGTTCCAAAGACCATCTGTGTAATCAGACTGCCACTATTGATTAGCAAACGCACCAATCACGGGACCCGGATGTTGCACTGCAGGAATGCCGCAGAGTTCAGGATGGCTCCTCTGGGTATTGGAGGATGTGTGGGTTTTCACAGAGACAGGGGATATAAATCCTAGGATTAGATTTTACACCCATTTGCAATGAGATTTTACAGTTTCAGCTGAATATGAGCACATCGGCGTAGCTTCAGCCCACGAAGCTGCAGCTGGAAGTTTGCTGTTTCAGAAAGGAGGCCAATGGGCTGTTCTGCTCTAAATCAGACAGACAATCATTAGATGCTCTGACTGCGTCTGAGGAGATTATTCAGCTGGAAAATAGTCAGGCATTCATAAATTGATACAGTTCTGACAGTTCATTGGGTAAAATTAGTCTCTTACTAGGAGTGTGATGTAGAGAACTCAGCAGAAGGCAACTCCTGTTCTACGCAAGTTAAAAAATAAAATTTAAAATGTGCTTAAGGTAAGTTTCTTGTCCTGGTCATAACTTTGTTCCTTTTAATATCACCTCAAGTAATCAGATAAATTTATCTAGTGGAGTGTGTTCATGCCTTAAAGATGAGACAAGCTACTTTCCTAATAAACTTAATTTACCTCAAATTCATATACTCACCTCAGATCATCACTTTGAACCTCCTCTTCAGGTAGATCATTAACAACTGTTTAGTTTTGTTGTGAGTTCAATTTTGTGTTCTGAATACCATAAACTATGTCTGATAGCTTTTTAAAGGTTGTTCATAAATTACATAATATTAATATTTTACTGGTCCAAGTGTTTATTTTTAAATTACTTAAGTTACTAAATTATTTTTAATTAGTGGTGATTATGTGTTGATTTTATAAATTATTCTTAGATGAAGTGTCATTATTTCTAATTTATTCAACCTGAATCTCAACCTAGAAAATATAGACATAAAAACTAATGACACTACATGTACTTATTTGTAATTTCTTACCAAATGTATATATTCATATTTAAGTATCTGTACACATAGTAAAGCAGGATCAAAGTGAAAGTCCTTGTTTGTGTGCAAAAAATGTCAACATAATTATAGTCCTGAAATTTGTTAGTTTAAAATTTGTGATCAAAATAACTTAAGTAATTTTGACAGATTAACATAATTTAAAAGCAACAGGAACTACTTGAGGCAAACATTTGAACTATATGCATATAGATTCAATTTCCAGATGTTTCTGAATATGATGTGAAAGCTCTCATATTTATCCAGACTTCTTTGTCTTTATGAGAAATTATGAGGCTTTTCTCCCATCAAGATGATGTCACCTGTTAAAATGTATCTAATTCTTGAATTTCAGATCCTGAAATATTACTTTACAACATGAAGAAAGTATTTTACAAACTTTCAGAGATCAATCGTAGTGCGCATTAACGTTATAGTGTGTGTTTTTAAGCATTTACAACATTCCTCTGTATAGAGTAGAAGCAGATAGCCTGTGATGAACTGGACCGCCTGACCATCATAAATCAGCATCTCTTCAGCTTCAATCCCCTCCAGCTCATCAAGCCTTGTTTTTCTCTGGCCAACATCCAACTCTGAAGCAAAGTTAAAAATGAAGTGTAAACTTTATTTGATCCCGGCACAGACGTAATGGGAGCTCTGAGCGCTCCGAGGTCGAGATAGCAATCAGCCGGCTCCGAAAGGTCCCGCTGGAATCCTCTGTAATCTCCCAGGAAGACTTCTATCAGCCATAAAATCTTAATAGCTTATAAAAATCATCTGTGTGACCTTCACTTTCAGTTCAGAAGTGATGTTCCATCGTTTGTTCTGGCTGCTTTTGGTAAAAACAAAAAGAAAAAAAATTAGGCCGATGTGCATCAACAGCTGCGTTTCCATTTCATTCCATATGCAACGACAAATTATTGAAGCTTAAAGTTTGAAAGTATTGGACTTTCTGGAATAAGTGGGTCAGCATGCACTTTAAGATAAAACTATAGATCATAAAGATATGTGTCGATGCATGGCGTCATCAGTGATGCTTCTTTTGCTTTTAAGGAGACCTTCACTGGACGAGGCTTGGGAAGACTTTGAAGCTTTTTAAGTTATCATAGTCTACTGATCTACTGATCATCTCAGTGATATAATTGAAGGAACTGAATATAGAAAATAATTCTGCATCTGAACAAGATAAATAAAAAGTAAAAGAGCTGAGAAGAAAGAATAATTTCTCATTCATGTCTTACTTTACAGTTAATAAATGAGTTTCTCTGCATGGTTCTTTGTACTTTCTCCTTTTATTTGTTGCTTGTCTTTCATCTTATAATTGGCTGGTGGACGTAGGACCTGAAAGCAGAGAAGATTTCAGGCAGCAAATATTTTTTTTCTGTAATTAAACTCAAACACAGAATTCAAAATTTTAAACAATAGCAAACAGTCTGAACCAAAAGTCAAAGCAGAAAATCAGAGATTTTTGAGTGTAAATTGGGAGGAGCAACCAGAGACTGGGTCCTGCTGTGAACACGTTGAGATGGAGGGCAGGTGTGGCAAACTGGAAATTGCTCAAATGAAAACTTTACCTTCATCTTAAAAGAGGAATGGAGACCACTGAGCAACTGGTGTGTTGCTCTTGTTCCTTTTCCTGGACATGTCAATATGGAGGTTGTTGAAGTACTTACTGGGGCTCCGACTCATCTTCATATCAGCATCGCTGGATAAGCTGCAAAATCAGTCAGTTTCTTCTCTTTTCATCAGCTTAAACTCAGTTCCTACTTTTCTCTTCTTCCTGCTTTGTATGGATTCAGTCCTGTCAATGTGGAAAGGCTGTGGTGAAGGAACAAAGCAGAAACAGAACAAACTGGGAAGCTTTTGTCCAACTGACAGAAACACCTCGGGAGATGTCCAACTCAGCGCTGTTACAGAACAACCAGAAAAATGTTATGTTTTCAGTCCCTGTTCCAAATCATACAACCTTATAACAGCTATATAGGTGTGTTAAATGAAGATGGGACGTTCTGATCCAATTAGATTATCAAGACATTGTTAAATTGTTAGTGTCAGGAGTTTCTGGCTGAACTCAGACTCTGGTATCAGCTGTTGGTCTACTGAATGGGACTTTCTTTTAAAGCCAGCCTCAGCTAGCCAACTTTTTAAAATCAAGCCAGATGAAAGTTTGTAAATTTGATCAAAAAAATAAGACTTTCACTCTTACCATTGAAAATTGTTATTTCTGGAGGAAAATGTAAGAAGCTCTCAGGCCTGAGAACACCTTCCTCACTGTGAATGAAGGAGCTGAGAGCTTCATGTTGTGTGGGTGTTGTGCTGCAGGACGGACTGGTGCACTTTACAAAATAGATGACAATATGGGAAAAGAATATCATGTGGAAATGGAAATACAAAATATCAAGACATCTGCCAGTTGTTTTCCAGCTGAATTGTGACTCGAAGCATACAGGTACATTGGTTGTACAGTCAAATGAAGGCCACAAAGTAAAAGTTTTGAAGTTGACATTAAAATGTGTATCCAGAGCTGAAAAGGTGTGTGAACAAGACTTCTGAATTTAAAGAAAATTAGATTCTGTTTCTCATTATCTTAAAAAAGAAATACTGTTTGTTAATTTGCAGAAATTCCCCATGTGCTCAAAAACTTCCAATCAGAGCCAGGAAGAAGGTCTCACCACTGTACACACTGGTCACTAATGACGACAGTTAAACTGTTTTTTTTTGCTTCTCCACCATTAGCACAGATGTAACAAACCATCAATTTTGAGCAGCATATACATGAGTGTGATTGACGGTGCCAAGTCCCTCCTCCTGTCTCTGATTGGTTGTTTCTGACCGAACAGTAGTAAGACCTCTGGGAGAAGGTAGATTATCTGTCTTGTGTTATACAGTTATGACATAGAGATGCAAAAACTTTTCTTTTTAGAAACCAGAGTCTCACATGCATGCATTGTGCTTGACTCCTCTCATAGCACCAGTCTGCAGCAGAAAGTCTGGATTGGTGTACAGCATCACATTTGTTCATTTCCCCACAGCGTTTTTCATCACCACGGTTCCCCATCATCAATACCATGATGAACATCCTTTAGCGCCTCTTTACATTCATGTCACTTCTGTGAGACACATTTACATGCATTACTGGTTTAGTCTTTGTGTTGCCTCAGAGCTTACATTTTATCATGCAACTAATCCATCTACAGGCCAACACAAACATCTGATCCATCAGTGCTGTCATGCACGCTTTACACCTCTATGTATCCTAACAGCATTTGCCCAAAAAAAAGCTGGAAAAAGTCAACCTGTTAGCATTTTCACAAGGGAGAAGCTTGTATCATTTCCCACCAGACAGGAGAGCTTATTATCCAGCAGGGGAATTTCAGAAAAGGATAAACACTTTAACTTTTGTCCTTAACAGACTCAAAATGCCTAACTTTTAACCTTTTTACCTGATTTCCATGTGTTAGATAGATGTTGGTCTGTCCCACGGGATGCAAGTCTTTGCGTGAAAAACTAACGACAGAGATTGAAGAGAACACAGTAAAAGAAAATGAGACAGAAAAGCTGTTACGTTCATAAAATTGGGCTTATTACATCCGGTGGGAAATTAGTGAGCTAGTTTGATGGATGGCACTCTCGCTTTTTATGCAGCATAAAGCAGTCACTGGTCTCAGTAGGTTTCTTCCGTGATGGCATCAATCAAACAGATGTTGTGGTTCAGGATTAATGCCTCGGTTACGACCTGCAGAAGCAAACAGAACTAATCCAAACAGTTAACACAGTCGCTCGTAAAGAAGGTTTTCAGAACAGAGGGCCGAGGAGGTTCAAGCTGATTGTGACCCACGGACGGGTTCATTTCTCATTGCACATTATGGCATCAGATGAGGGCCACCTCTATCAAAAGGACATGAATTATTAATGGTGCCATATGGCTCTCCTTTCCCTTCTCAACCTTCTAATTATGTGAAAGTCAAGAAAAATCCAATTTGCTGTTCTACATTATTAAGGAACACTGAGCTGACACGTACTTTCTAAATTAGGAAGTTTATTCCCATGCTCAGATTTTTTTTTTTTTTTTTTGCTTCCATGGATTTACTTTTATCTGTCTGTGTAAACAAAACCAAAATTTTAAAACACCAGTCGGGTTTATCTAAACTACGATTGCAATCTTTCTGAAAATGTGTAAAAAAACAAAAATCAATCACATTCTAGACAAGAGATCTAAGTTTCTTACAGCACAACTTGATCAATTTCAGATACTCTAAATAGCAGGCATGACTCAACAGCCAACAAAAACATTGTTTTTTTTTTTGTCATCTTCTATATAATTTCCTATGTTTAGCAAACAGAAAGTCCTTTGACTATTCCTTCAGCTCTTTGTCATTTTACCTACTCTTCAAATTGATTCGCAGGTTTATTTTTATGACATTTCAGCTCAGGAACAAAGTCGATAATATGTCTGGTGATTAATGTAAAACCAAAGGTTGGTTTGGTTTTGCATTTGGTCTCATTATCCTGCAGAAAGACCCAATGATGATCCAGTGTTTAATTCCTGGTAGAGGGCAGCAGATTTCATAAAATTAACACGTCTGGAAAAGGTTTCCAAGACCACAGCACCATGCATACTCCACCTTACTTGACAATAGTCATGAAATGCCTTCCCACATATTAACTCTTGTTTCACTTCAAAGTCTGAGTGTTCTTTTTTTATAGTTCACAGTGAGTAAAAGATATAGTGGACTTTAGGAATCTTCATGTGTATAAGTGCGTCATACAGAGTTTTTTTTTTTTTTATCTGTATCACACCAAACAACCATGCAACATAAATCTCTTGTCGATGCCTTTACTATCACTCCATAGTAAGGAAAATGAACACATCATTTTCATGCAAAATTTGGATTTTAGATGATGAGATGCTGCTAAATATAAATGTGTTTTTTAAAACATCTTTACCAGGGGTGCCAACAAGAGTGGTGCAGAGGTCATTAATCTCTCCAAGTGGTTGCTCCCTCCTGATGATTTTCTGTCAGAGCTCTTCATCCCTCATCAGCTGCTATAATTAACATCCATCATCAGCTGCAGGAAGATTTGACTGAAGCCTTTCAGGAGATTTAAGTGGGAACAAAACAGACTCATAAAAAGTTATGTATCCGGTCTTCTACACAGTAAGAAATTTTGAATAAAAAGCATATCTTGGTGTATCTGGACACTTAAACATGTCGCAGGTTGAGGCAGTGAGTGACCCATGATCTCTGATTTACAGAAACGGAACCTTCACACTCAGTATTGAAACCTTATCATGGCCTAAAAGAAGCCAAAAGAACTATGTAGTTCGTAAAAATAAACCAGAAATTCTCCTGAGATCCTGTCCATGAGTGCCACAAACATTAACATGGACAGAGTCCAACGCATACTGCTTACAAGTTCAGCTGTGAACCAGGAATTTTGTCACAACTTTGTGCCTTTAAGGATTGGATAACCATTAAAAGCCACCCAGTACAAAATACTCCCACAGAACCCAGAACGCCCTTTTAGCAGATCTATCTGGGTAATGATATGGGATGGTGAATATTAACGCCACTTTTCTTCTGATCCAAAGTTTTTCCTTTTTATTCAGGGATATTGAAAGTGTGATCCTTCCAGAATACATATGTAGACTGATGGACAATAATCCATGTCTAAGGTCTGATCTCTTTTCATTTCAGACTACGAATTTTTGATCATAATTACGATTTAAATATTTATGAAGCAGCTTTTTAATTCTATTAGCTTGAACTGGTTTCAGCAGAAACACATTAATGAGCAGATCAGCAGCATTAACTTTAATTCTTTTGTAAGAAAACATTTTGCTCCTGGTTTTGTAGATTTGGTTCTTGTAGTATTTGGTTTCTTTGAGAAAAACAGTAGCAGTGAGAAAACATTTGGTTTCAGTGAAAGCTGATAAGCTATATATATTTATAGTTATTAAATAGGAATTAGCATCGAAAATTACAGTTTTGACAAACTTAAGGGGAGTGCCGCACTGAATGAAGACTCTGACATACAGTACAGACCAAAATAAAAACATAATCCAATGCAACATGCAACACAATGTCATTTCTTTTGTTATGTTTTTCTCTGGAAGAAATTGATCAAAATGAGTTATTTTCATTTCACATAAAAAAATAAATTTGAATGAGAGTTTGGATGATACAAATGTTGGATCGCTCCGTTCTGCCTTACATCTATTACTTCTTTATTAGAGAAGACCTTGCATGATGGAAAAAAAAACAGCTTTCCACTAATATTCCACTGATGCATATTATATAAAATCCTTTTGCAAATAGAATTTCATTGTTATCTTCAATGTTTGTGATGAATAAAATGTGGTTGGTCTGAAGCAAAGAGAAATTATCTGTACATTATACCTTGAATGGCCCACTTTATATATATATAAAACATAACCTGAG